TTTTTTTTTTTTTTTTTTTTTTTTTTTTTTTTTTTTTTTTTTTTTTTTTTTTATAATTTATAATTTTTTTTTTTTTTTTTTTTTTTTTTTTTTTTTTTTTTTTATTTTCTATTCCAGCGAAGAATACGATACGCCTAGATTTTCTTTTTACTTAAAAATAAGAGCTTTGTCTCGTTCGTACACGTTATGTATACGATGCATTAAGAGTATGTGTATATACATAAACAACTGGTTAGTAGTAATAGTATGCGTGAATTTATTTTTAACATAGTATTAACAACATGATGTTTAATTGACTTACACTCATTAAAATGATTTAGACGTTAAAAAAAATGAAAGAATGGATTAATGTTTGAAATAATTTATTTGATCAATACTTTTGTTTTTACGAAAAAAAATTCGATACTAAGAATATATTAGAAATATATATATATATATATAGGAGAAAAGAGCTGATAAAAGAAGAAGAAGAAGAAAACAAAAAAAATGATCACATGGTAAAAAGTCGGACAATTTGATACTAATGTTTAACGATTGAATCTTAGATTGTCTATTTCTGGATGTTTTGTTTTTTTTTGTTTATAAATATGCTTTCTCTTCTTTTTCTTTTTAATTTCATTCAAGTATAATCTATTTTATAAACACGAATATAATAGATTATAAACATCATTAAACCAATTGTTGAAAAAACAGAATAGAAATGGAAAAGTACATTATTGACAATAAATTTTGTTTTGTTGAAGTTTCTCACGCTTCTCTCTCTTCCTCTCTCTCTAGCAATAGAGTTAATCATATGATTATGATTAACTCTATTTTCAGAGATAGAAAAAAAGAAAAAACATGTCAAAAACAAATTAATATGACAAAGACTAAAAAACATTTATTCACTACTCTATTCACATAATGATAAAAAACAAAAAAAGAAAATGTTTACTCTTCATTCGTTCAATGATAGTGTTTCAAATCTTGCATGCTATATAAAAAGAACATGTAAGTTCAACATCATTTTTCAGTACTATTAACTTATCGTGAGTGGAAATTAATCTCTTTGATAAATATCAACAATGAGAAACATTAGCGGAAGTATAAGTTTTTTTTTAACAACAAGATAATTATTTTTAAAAAAAATGCAATTGTGTGTGTACAAACTTCTCCCATAGGAAACAGACAGCAAAAAATGGATAGAAAGATAAATAAAGTGAATAATATGATGTCATCTTTATGATGATAAGAAAAATTGTAAATTTAATGAAAAAAAAACAAAAACAATTTCTGAGTTAATGAGAACGTGTTTTCCATTTCAAAAAAAAAAGGTTTTTTCTCTCTCTCTCTCTCTCTCTCTATGTACTCTACAATTTCCCTCATATATCTATTAGTATTATTATTCTTTAATTTTCTTTTTTTCTTTTTGTCAAATGACTAACATACATCGTATCTTCTTCTTTACTAAAATAATATATGCAATTTTTATTGTACTAATGTGTCGAGTTACGACAAAATACATCCTATTTTCACTATCGTATTACTTATACATAACTATATTAAACGATTTCTCTGTTTTAATCCAGCATCGTATATATATATATATATAGAATATATAGATATATAGTCGAATAAGAGAAAAGTTATTTCTCTATTTTTTCTTTTTTCTTTTTTTGTTTCTTCTATGTATGATGTGTTGCGTCCGGTAGTTGATGACGCACGAGGAAGTAACAAGAAGTTCAAGAGACTATGAGATTGAGGTATAACGAATGTATTCATATTACTTGCCATACTATTACAAATCTTCTATATATTTTAAGGGAAAAGTTTTTTAATGTTTATGTTCTCTATATTTGTTTTTAAAAAAATAAAGAAGAAATACTCTTATAATACGTTAGAAAGAATGAATAAGATAAATAATAAATTGAACCAATTTACCGTACTTAGTTGATATAAGTATGTACTTTAAGAATTATTTTGACATATATTTTTTTATTTATTTTTTTATTCAAGTAAAATAATTTATCGAGATAAAACAATTAACTTTGTGGATATCATTAAGATTTCTAGAAGACCTATTTAAAAATTTATTAATTCTTTTAATTTTAGATATATTGTACGTTTATCTCGGTAAGAGAAATTATTAGTTCAATTCATTATTTACAGCTCAACAAGAAAGTAAATTTATTTATGTATTTTTTTTTCTCTTTTGAGTGAAAGCAAAGAACTATCAGCTATTTAACCTATTACCTAATAGATAATGATTACATGAGAAGAGAGAACAAAAGCATATATTCTTAAACTTATAAGTGTAGATTAACTAGAGTAGTATAATTAGAGTCAAATTATTTGTTTAATTACATAAAAAAATAAAATTATTTATTTTTTTTCTTCTTATTTTTAGTTTACAAATAATTAATTATGTCAAGTGTTAGTACAAAAAAAAAATTAGTTGAACAACTTCGTCAAGAAGCATCCATAGATAGACAAAAAGTTTCAACTGTTTGTAAAGATATAATTAAATTTTGTCAAGATCACGAATCGGCTGATGTACTTGTACGTGGCTGGTCAAATCAAAAAGAAAATCCATTTAAAGAAAAAGCCGGTTGTCTAATCTTATGACGACTATGGAATACAAAAACATTTTTATTCTATTGGACGGCTTATATATATGCATTCATTACACGTTCTTATCGTAATGCATATCTACGTTAAACAAGAAAAAAACATTTTTTATACTCTGTTGTTGTTGTTGTTGTTGTTGTTGCTGATGCTTTTTTTTTTTCTTCTTCTGTTAATTGTGCAAAACGATGTTTTTGTTCACGCAAAAAGGAAAAAATTTTTTTTTCACATGCTTTTTTTTTCTCAAAAAGAGAATATCAATCAAAAATCAGATACAGAGATTCTTCTTTTGTTAAAAAAAAAACAACCGTTCACCATGATTGTTATACCGTATTTCACAGGCAAGTATCGTACTGTTTAGACTATAACTTCGAGATATTTTTTGTTTGTAAAACGAAAATTACACATTTACCTTCAAAGAATTTCTTCTCTTAAAAAGGATGTAATGAATTTTATCCTCTCTTGTTTCATTGCATTATTCTGAGATTTAAAGCAAGGTTTCTTTTTTTTTGCCTCTCAGACAACATTCTGAATAATGAATATTTTTTTATACGTTTGCCGTATGATTTAGAGAACATGTCTCTTCTACAGGAAAAAAAAAAGAAATGAATCTACTGAGAGTATTTTTCTTCTTGTTATAGTTTCGTGCTTATTCTTCGGATGTGTACGGTTCATTTATTCTTTCGTTTATTGTTATTAATAGAACTTTTTTTTGAAAGTAATTTCTAATATTTAGACATTACTTTTTTTTTCTTCTTTTTATAGAAATACTTCATAATGTTATTTCTTTATTTCGATTGTTTCCTTAGAACCTCTTTATATTTCGTAAATTTTTTTGTGCATCATTATGTTCAATTATTCTACCTATTTGATATCTGCTTCACTATATTCGATTTTTTTTTCTCTATGCTTTGTATGTTCATTATTTCGCTAATGTTTGTTTTTTTGTATGATATTCACTCTCTTTTTTTTTAGAACACATTTTATAGAGCTAATGAAAATGCTAATTTCTTGAGATGGCATGATTTTTACTTTTCAAATTGTAACATAGAAGAGTTTAAATAACAAATAATATAATAACACACACACACATATAACAATGGAAAAATATGTTTTTGTGTCTATAATCAAACTTCAAAACGTTTTTTCATAACGTTCTAATATTTAGTTCGTGATTAATGAATGATAAACATATATATTATTATTATTATGGATTAAAATATATGCATTGGATAGTATTTCTGCTGATGTAAGAGTTTTTTTTTTTGCACGATTTCATCTGACTAGAATAAAGCCGTAAGCGGTGAAGACTGAAAATGTTAGTTATTGATTATATAGAATCACAATCTCTTCTTGCGTTTTAATACTAACTCATTTACATCTTTTCGAGCGATATAATGAAATCTTATAGCCGAATCTTGTAATCTCCTAAAATAGAAAAAAAACATGAAATAATGTTTAGAATGTGAAACAAATTAAAATTCTTGATAAATAGTCTGTCATTATATTGTTTTGTCTAGCATTTTTAAAATGCTTTTGTAAAATTTAATACAACTTACCATCCTCGATCTTTTTGAACATTATCAAAACTTAATTTTTTATTATATGCTCGTCGTAATTCAATGGGACTAATCATGTATAGAAAATCCATTCCAAAATTATCAAACATACATTCAAGTGAAATTCGTCTTGCTTCCAAAGTTGGATTCTTTTGATCATTCCATTCGACTTCTAAATAATCGACTAGATCTAGACTTCGATCGTTAACCATTTTTTCTAATACGGGCACCTCGGCACCTTCAATTGAGAGTTTAAGATGTACATAATCTTCTGGTTTTGCGCTTTGTATTAGCCATTGTGAAAAATCAACAGCTGACACTGTTAAACTTGATTCCAAATCAATTTTACTTCTTCGTCCTTGTTCTGTGGCAAAATTCATTTCACCATCTCGTATCCATGCTGCTTGTTGTACTACTGTTAAATTAACATCCGGATGTCGTTGTTCAATTAATTTACAAGCAAAATAATTAATAGTATCAGGTTCAAATGCATAAATCTCCAGATCAGTCATCGTTTCATTTGAATGAAAAAAAAGAAAGTAATCGATGTCTCTCGCATCAAAACATCCCAAATCAATAAATACATGCCGTCTATTAGACGTGGTAGCAGTAGGTGTTTTAGGTACTTCTGCAGCGATCACCTTCTCTCCATCGTTCTTTCCTTCATTCGACTCATCATTATCTTGATCACCATACTGATAGTCTTTCTTCATCTGAGCCTTTTTCTTTGTTGAAACATGTGCTTCAATATTAGTCGGAGTCGGTACTGTATTTTCAGTAACGAACGAATTTTGTTTAACAGATATTTTAGCAAAATGCAGGAATGAAAAGATAAATGAAAACAGAGCAACGATGAGTACGGCACTAATGATATGAGATGAAAGTTTATTGCGAACAATAGTGCCTGAATCATTATCCGATGACGATTCTTTACTATTATTAATTGCAAAACCAAATTGCATTCTTGATATAGGAACCTAAGATAAAATAAAGAAATCTTCTCTTCATTCTGCAGTTGTATTAATCTGTGAAACAAGCGTTGAGGATGTCTTTTTTTTAAGTCTTAATTCTAACAACTGTGCAAACTTCACCTTAAACTTTTGTAGACTTGAATTAAGAGATCTCTAGGCATTTTTTCGGAATAGTCCAGTTTAACAAACCTTATCCGGCAGATTCAGACAGATAGTGATTGTGATTCTTCTACAGATTGATAACACACTCACACTACACACACACACACACACCACAGATCTGTTTGTACTCCAGAGAGAATTTAGTCTCACGCGTAAACCAAGAATCCTGTTTCGGCCGAGCGGTTTTAAAATCTGTGAAAGCGCGGAAAAGATAGCGCGTGTTCTGAAATATAAATTTGTATTAAAAGATATGTTTTAAAACGGGTTTCGATACTTGAAAAAAACTTAATTTTAAATGTGATGAGAACCAGGTCAAAGAATCTTGTTGTAAGATCTTATAAGATTCTTGTACGACTCCGTCTGATTTTGTAAGATTCTCTAAGAAACATAGAAACTGACTCTTGATCGAAGATCTGATAGTAAGTTTTCATCAGATTTCGTAAGATTTTTGTATGATTTTTATAAGATAAACCCGTTTCTATGATTTTTCGTAAGATTTTATAAGATCGTGTAAGATCTTGCTCTGATTTTTTGACCTGGGGAATGATAGATTTGTGTCGCTACCTCTTGCGCCCTCTATATCTCGAGGACGAAGCAGTTTTAAGTGACACTATTTATACCATAGTCTAGTTGCATATAGACCTACAACTGAAATGAATGTCATTTAAATCTGTGGCATCAACAATCAGTGCCTATGGATAACTGGGTTGTTCCACAGATTGATCACGCACCCCTACTGTGATGTGTGTGCGGAATGTGAGTGTGTGATCGATCTGTAGAAGTACAGATAACTGTCTGCTTCTCTCAGAAAATGGCTCGTAAATTTCAAACTTGGATCACAACTGTATGCGCTTGTACATATATCGAGATGTTTGTAAGGAAATTGTTCTACAAATTTACTACATTGTATAAAATTCAGTGCAAGAGTGGAAGAAATAAAGTAACAGGGAAATATATTTTAAATCATATTATCTAAGAGAAAAATCCAGCGTTAGGTCATAGTCATGCAAATATTTTCTATTATGATTTTTAATTACAGTTTCGTTTTCTATCAAAACGATAATATTGGTTTCTTATGTTATATGCAAATGTTTGTTAGGTGATGGTAAAAGAGGAGGGAATTTGCCATTGGCTACTATCATCAGTTTTTAATGAATATTGAAGGCGGCATGACTGACACTCTTTAAAAAAAAACTATATTACAAAACTAAAATGGGGTATTTGCAGTTACGAGTATAGAAAACGCATAGAAAAATTCCGTTTTGCATTTAGAGGGCAAAAACCTCTTTCGTGTTTTAGAACATTGCTTTAAGAGTAAATACAAAACCGAATAAGGGTTTGTTGTACGTATATAGTGGGTTTTATAGTACATTTGAAAAACCTCCCATAGTATTTCAAAATACGCCTAACCGTATCTGAAGCAGTATTTGGGAAGTTTCTGCGCTCTGGAAAAGCGAAGCGCGTTTCGTATAGTCGGAAATACAAAAACACTCCGAAATACTGATTTCTGGTATTGAACTACGCTTTGTGCAATTCATTGAAGACAGAAAATCGTGTTTATCTCAACTAGGAAGCGTTTTTCTGAGGTGGTGCCTATGAGAGAAAATATAGAGAATGAAATTCGGCACAATTAAAAATGCTTCGAACTCAGTCGACTTATCCGAAAACGCTTAGTTCTCGAGATGAATATTTTTAATGTTTTTCTTCAAAAGTGTATGTGTTATTTCTGCTAAAACAACTCGCTGCTATAAACTGAAGTATGACATTTAATAATTGCTGTAAAATTTGATCAGATCGCAATTGTTTGAGATAAATACGATTTTCTGTTGAGTAAAGAAAGTTGAAGCGTACTTCTCAGACCAGTACTCAATGTTGTACTATATCCTTTGACTTGTAGATAAAATACTTTTTATTGCTACAGAGATAATCACTAATGGATTTCTCACTTTCAAAAAACGCCGTATGGGTATTTTAAAAAATCAAGCTGAGTGATTTCAGAACCGATTGGATATTTCAGGAGTAATGACATACCCATATATTTAGCAGTATTACTGCAAACGATTGGGTTTCTCAGTGATTTTTAAAAACGTTTAAGGTAAACCAGCTTTGATTCATCGAGGAAGGAATAAACCGACGAGAGTTTAGAAAAAAAACGAAAAACTTTATTGACTTCCAGTTAATCCCACAACTCCGACCGTATTTTACAATACCCAAAGTTTTTTGCAAAAACATAGAAATACGATTCTTTGGTGTTTTGGTGTGTTGATTCTTTGGTGTTTTATAGAAATACGATTCTATAAAACACCAAAGCGTTTCCAAATCACTACAAAACGCTTTTGACTTATCTTTTATCTGTTTAATAAAACTCCTACAGACGTCAGAACGAAAACTAAAAAGCTTTTTGATTTTGTAACGTTATTTTTTAGAGTGTACTGGTTGATGCTGTTTGTCACGTACTATGTTCGAACATCGGCGCCGCCAGGGCATGTGATAACCTTGGACAAATTACTTATGTCTTAGTGTCTCGAACCACCCGTCCGACAACATATTCACTATGTTGTGATGTACAATACAGCTCTTCCGGCTAGTTCGCGTAGCTTTCTAAAACACTAGTACGTACACTGTAAAAAATAGTCGTAGATTAATAAACTATCAAAAAGGGTTTGTTGAGACCAATAAACCTTTTAAAAAACGCTTTTCTGTTTTTTATATCCAAAAAGCTAAAATGCGTTCGTGACAGATGCAAAATGAAAAACGGGCGGTTTTTTATCAAAAATAAAAAACCCTTTTCAATTTTTTGTCGAGTCTAAAAAACTAGCTAAAAAGCTCTGTCATGAACGCTTTTTAGCTTTTTGGATATAAAAAACAGAAAAGCGTTTTTTAAAAGGTTTATTGGTCTCAACAAACCATTTTTGATAGTTTATTAATCTACGACTATTTTTTACAGTGTAGTTAGTGAGTATATGGATGATGCTCAAGTAATTGGGCGAAAGAACTCTGTGTCTGGCTGGTTTGCTGTTCAGACCTGTGGGTAATGACTAGTAAGGAGATGGGCGACCCTGTCAGAAGCTTGTCAACTTCAGGGAAGATATTGAGGTATTCAAACTATCATTCAGCAGCATCCTACACGAAAACCAGTAGCCGCAAGGTCCGATATTCTTCGTCTATTTCTTAATGAATAGTATAACTATTATTGAAACAAACCATCGTTTCGTCCATTCACAATACTTACCGATTGAACAATGAGAAAATATACCTATCAAATTAATAGGCTCAACTTATATCACATGATACTTGGTTACAAAGCCGATGATAGACTAAGTTTTTTTTCCTATTTTTCCACCTGAGTAGACAAACTAGAAAGCTAAACGTGCTAGTGGGCCACTCTATACTAAACACCAAAGAGAAAAACTGCAGGTATGATTGAAACACATTAGCGATTATATTCCTATTCTTTTCTTTTCTTTTCTTCACTCTACCACAAATACGTTAATATTCATATTTATCCTCATTCATATACAATCCTTTAATTTTGGTAACAAAAACATGTGCACTATTAATTATCAACATTGAATAACAAAATTGAAAATTATGATTAATAATTCATCAGAACAAAAACACTTACAAGCTGACTGTATACCATAAACACTTCCTATTTTCAACAAATAAACCACAAGAAATTTTAGGGAAACTTCCAACCTTGCAGATGCATTTGTTCTGGAGAATTATTAATCATAAGTTTATACATAAGGTGTATGATCAATTTTGTTACTCACTGTATATTGAGCACGGTTTAACCTTTTGACTTTGAATGAATAACAGTCACGCCAGATTTGTTTTATTCTCTATTCATACTTGATCACTATTCAGTCTTGTCTTTTGTGAAACTGTAATAAATATAAAATTTGATCTTTTTTAATATTCAACCGCTATTTCCATAAAATTTAATACCTCAGGAGAATTTCCAACTAGAAAAAGAAGACGGCAATGACAAATGCAAAACTAACCGCTTTATTTGTATATCACTGATTTTCCCTTTTTAAGTGTAATCATACGAACCGCTTTTATTCCAACCCTTTAGAAACTCGTTTCTGGTAAATTACATTGTCCTAATCAAATAAAATTTTATGGAAATAGAGGCTGATTTTATAAAGATCAAATTTTATATTTGTTACAGTTTGACAAAAGACAAGACTGAATAGTGATCAAGATGAATAGAGAATAAAACAAATCTGGCGTGACTGTTATTCATTCAAAGTCAAAAGGTTAAACCGTGCTCAATATACAGTGAGTAACAAAATTGATCATACACCTTATGTATAAACTTATGATTAATAATTCTCCAGAGCAGGACTCTAGGAACTATAGGAACATTAGAAACTAATGTTTATATAGTTTTAATGTTTCTAATGTTCCAGAACTGTATAAACATGAAGAATTATAGGAGCATTAAGTACATTAGCAACATCAGAAACAGTCGGAACTGCAGGAACATTAGGAACTATATAAACATCAGTTCCTAATGCTCCTAATGTTCATATTGTCCTATTGTATCTAGAGATAACGAAAAAATGTTCAGAGGATGCCCTTACGCTTTGAAAAACCGCTTTTTGAGAAATATTTTAGGAAAACGAATCGTTCAGAAATCCAAAATCAGCTGTCTAACAACATCCGAGCGTGGCCTACATTTTGATATAGAGCTGGAACCATGAACATTTTAGCCCAGAGACAAAATCGGGTTATTGGGTCTCACGTGTAAACCAAGAATCCTATTTCGGCGGAGCGGTTTTAAAATCTGTGAAAGCGCGTGTTCTGAAGTATAAATTCGTATTAAAAGATATGTTTTAAAGTTGATTTCTACAGGTGGAAAAAACATAATTCTAAATGTAATGAGAATCATGGATTTGTGACGCCACCTCTTGCGCCCTCTACATCTCGAGAACAAAGCAGTTTCAAGTGACGCTATTTATACCATAATCTAGTTGCATATAGACCTACA